TTTTACAGATTTTTTGTCATTATCTACAATTTGCTTTTCTTTATAAATTTGTTAGGGAATAGATAATTTACTTCCCAATACCTCAAAAGGATATATACAGATTCTACCATCTTAAATAAAATTAGTTTTTAGAACAATTTTAATTGATATATAGTTGAGCTACAACTGAATATAGTAGATTAGGATTAGTAAACATGCTTTGTGATTTCAGTTCTTTGAAATTTGTTGAGATATGCTTTATGGACCAATTTGTAATCTACACAGTAAATGTTTTGTGTAGAATTGAAAAACATACGTGTTGTACAGTTATGGGATGCAGTATTCTGTATACGTTTGATTAGATCAAGTTTCTTCAAGTCTAATATATCTTTAATGATTTTCTGTCTTCTGTTCTATCAATTACTTAGAAAGATATGTTAAAATCTGTCAGTGATTGTGGATTTGTCTACTTCTGTCAGTCTGTTTTTGAGGTATATATAAATTTAAAATTGTGTTATCTTTATGTTGAAAGATAAATTTTATTTCTTTGAAAAAAAAACAGTCCAAAGACAGCTACATCAATTTAAACACACACACACACACACACACATGACAACAATAACCAAATTAGATACATGCATATCCTGGACTTAGTAATTAGAGAAAATACCTGGAGAGGGGATAGATATGGCCATGGTAATGTAGATGACGGAAAACAATAAAATAAAAGGTGATATCTGGTGATATTCACGAATTGAGAGGGGTGTGATTAACTCCACTCTTTTTACTTAAGTGCCTCCCCCCAGTTTTAAGTGATATTGGAAGGAACATATTAAGTCCAACTAGGGAAATCTGAGAAGTGTGGAAGGGGTCAGATTTGAGCTGAGCCTTGAAGGATGGTAGAACCTTGGTAGTGTTCTGGAAAAGAAGGGCATTTTTGGCCTGCTAACAACTTAGTTAAGAGCCAGGTGGTGGGAGAATGTAAGATAGGTTTAAGTATCAGCCAAGCAACTGTTGTTATATTTGAAGTCAAAGGCAAGTAGTGGTGTTTAGTGGAAAATAAGTCTACAAAGACAGATAAGAGCTTAATGGTGAAGGGCTTTCAATGCCTAACTATGGAGTTTGGGTTTTATTTTGAAAGTAATAGGAATTGATTTGTAATTTTTTAAGCAGGGAAGCAGTAGGATCCAATCTGGGAAGATTATTATCCACACAGTGTTAGAGGAATTGCAGCAATGTTTGGATACAGAGAGAACTCCAAAAGCTATTGTCAATATCCATATGAGAGCTAATGAGGAATTGAAAAAGGCATTGGTTATTGGTTCCTAATGCTAACATTAAGAGTGCTGTGGAAAAGAACTTGGGAAATTGGTAGGACTTGAGACGTGAATAATGTGGTGTCTTATCTTTATTGTAGAAGTGTTACAAGTTGTAGGTGGTGAATGAAATCACTAAGACAGAGGCAAAAGCCTTTGGGCAGAATGGAAGGGAGCAATGAAGTGGACTGTGAGAGGACAAAAGACTGAAGGTCCTATGGAACAGTGCAGTGAAAGTTATGGAGAGAGGTTCAGAAGAAAAAAAAATGTCAATGACAAATGCTACAAAGAAACTATATGGGATTAGAATTTAGCAGAGATCACTGGTTACTTTCCAGAGAGTATTCTCAAAAGAGAAGAATTGGTAGGCTCAGATTGCCTGTAGTTGAAGAGAGTGGGAGGGGAAAGAGTGGAGGCAGTGAGCTTTGGCTAGTCTGGCAAGACTTTTTTCTGGAAGTGTGGTAGAAAGATGAGGTGGTAGTTTGTGAGAAATGGAAATCAGGGAGTCAGAGGAATGGCTTTTTTTTTTAGTGTTAGGCAGACAAGAGCTTGTTTTGAAGACAAAAGGAAAGCAACCAGTCCAGAAAACATAAGGAAGAAGACCTACGTAGGAGCCTAAGGGAAAGGTGCCCCAGATCAGCCTACCTGCAAAACTCCTTGAAAGCTAGCCTTGCTATAACTCAGTTAACACCTTCCCCCTAATTGTGTCCCTTCATTTTGCTTTTAGGAGAGCTTTGCTCTCCCAGATGGACACAGAGCTCTCCCCAAATATACCAACCCCTCTTTTTTTTCTCCTGGGTTCTGGAGACCAGTTGAAACTGGACTAACAAAGAAACTTTTCTGTTGATCAGCAAGTCAAGAGAAGTGATTTAACTGCTTTATCTGTCCAAAGAACCTGAAGCACTCAAAGCCTAGTAGATGAAAGTACCCCGAAGATTCGTTTTCCACTCAGCTGTACGGCACAATTGTTGCTACTCCTGGCTGTGGCAGGCTTCATTTGGGACTTTAACAGTATAGAAAACTCTGTTAACTTTTTCTGAAAGATTGCCAGCACCAGATCTAGAAGCTTTTTAAATCCTCATTAAACCAGAAAATGAAAAAGGCTGTGATGGAAGAGGAGGTTACAGAGACATGGGGCCTCCTGCCTGGTTAACCCTCTCAGGCTAAGCTCCAAGACTGGCCTTTTTCTTCCACAAGTCCTAGGGTTTGGCCTGTTTTGATTCCTTTTCCAGTTTCCATGCCCTCCATCCCCAAATTCCCACCTAGATTCAGGATAGTTTCCTGATATATCCCTAGCTCCACTTTCTCTAGGGATCAGACAATTGACTTTAAGTTATTTAAAGTGTTTCTTCTGCTTCTAATTTAAAGGGAACAATCAGGCAAAGTGAGCTGTAACCAAAAAGTAGATGATAATGGGGTAATGGGGAAGGAACAGAGGATGAGGAATTCTGAAAAAACTCGAGTCTTCCATGTAGCATGAACATGTGGGCCACTTGCTTTCCTCCTCACGCAGGCCATTAGCTGTAACCTGGGAGTTAGCACCATTATCTCTGCTGCAGCCAAGACTATCTCATTTTGAGTTAACATTGGAATATTAAATATTAGACCTGCTCTAACATTTAATATTAGACCAAGTGTTCCGTCTAGGGTAGATGTGGAATGACAATGCTAATAGTCTTATGGATTTTCTCCAGGTATGGATCTCCAGATCTCTCCCTCTCCCTTCCCCTCTCCCCACTTCCTCTCCCCTCCCCCTCCCCCTCTTCCTTTCCCTCTCTCTCCCTGTCTTTCTCTTTCTCTCCAGATTTGTCTTAAAAGAAATGATTCAAGAATTAAATGCTGTACATAATTTATATTCATACGTAGTTCAGACTTCTCACTTTGAGAGAGGCCAAATTTTCTAGTAAAATTACTAGCTCCCATCTGACTCACTGTCCACATGGAGCCCAAGATCAGCTATTTCCTTGGTGCTCTCATTGTCCTCCTATTGAGCCTGTCCTTCTTCCTTCAGCCTCAGCTTCACCCTTAGTACTTCTGATGTATCCAATGCCCTACCCTGGAAAACTCCACCACCTACTCTGCCTGCTCCAGTTCCCAGGCTGCCAACCATTGTTTGATGAATGTTTTATATATATATATGTAAAATCTTCTCCAGTGTCAGCTGAGCTCTCAGTGCCTTTTGGCAAACCTTCACACTTTTATAACAATTGAATTCCTGCCATATCCTCTACAACATCTTCTGGCCATTTCCAGTCATCCTCAATTCAATTCCCTCCCCTCTCTACCTTGACCTTATTTCCTGTTTATTGAAAAAATTCAGCTCATTTTAAACTAGACTTTCCCCACTTCTCTCTTACTTACTTACTTATTGATTGATTGATTGATTGATTGATTGATAACTACTGGGTCTTTTTCTTTACACATCCTCCTTCACTCTCTACTTTAGAGGAAAAAAGACTCCTGTACGTTCGAGGCAAATCATCAATGTTTCTTGGGTTCAAAATCATGTCCCTTCCATCCTTCTCTATGTTACAGTGTACTCATATGTGAGCATAAATTATCTCTGACTTAGACTGAGAGTCCTTCAAGGGTAAGGCCCATTATACATTCATCTCTATGTTCCGAACATACAGCACCATGGCTCATGCATAATAGACACTCAATGAATATTTATTGCAATGATGAGTTATGAAAGGATCAAATAGATTAATTTGAATTCTTTGTACTTTGTACATATACTTTGTTGATTAATAAGGGTACCACTGGGCAATAAGAAAGATGAAGGGAAAAATCAAGAGAATTTAATATGTTCCAGATTCAGGATTTTTGGTGAAGTTACAAGACATTTTAGGAAAAAATTTTGACATAGATTTAGCCCATCTCTTTATAATAAAAAAAGTAGTAACAGTAGAACCACTAGACTGGGACCATGAAGATGTGGCTTTGCTGCCATAAGCTATATGGCCATGGACTAGTTATTTAACCTCTGATCCTCAATTACTTTCTCTAGCATATTTAAGATAAGGTTATTGTGATGGAGTCCTGGATGTGAAAATACTTTGAAATCTGAAGCTCTTTTCCAATGCATACTTGTAGTTCTTATTCCTAATGCCACTAATAACTCTGGAGCTTCTACTTGCCATCTCTACTACAGCTGGTGCTACTTCCATGGCTCATCTTTCCTGTTGTACATAGAGCCTGATTTAATCTTAACATCCAAAAGGCATGTAAAAAGGCAAAGTTATCAGCAATGTGGAGCCTTTGCCCATCAGACACCCTTCCCAATTCTTTTTGGCCTGTGTGTTTCTGTGCAGATGGCTTTACTTGTCCAGAGGGACTGTTGTATACAGGGAGAGATAGGGAAGGCTAGGGAAAATGTAAGTCATCCCATCTTCAATAGCAAATACATACACGAAAAAATGTTCAACATCACTGGTCATTCGAGAGATGCAAATGAAAACAACGCTGAGATTCCACCTCACTCCAGAAAGAATGGCTGCTATCATGAAATCAACCAATAACAAATGCTGGCAGGGCTGTGGGGAAAGAG